AAAAGCAACCATAAGAAGCCTTAATAACACTAGCAAAAAGCCGATCAGCTTTTGACAAAAATTGTTCACAGTAACGTTCATTACTTCAATACATTTAATCACACGTTTATTAAACTATCTTCTAATTTAAAGAAATGGATGTTTATTCCGAAATGTTTCCACAGCTTTCTGAATTTTCATTAATAATTTGTCTCGGGAACCTATCGTTTCTTCATCACAAATTAATTTAGATGTTCGCATACAGAAAAATCTATAGTATTAAAATCCGGACTTCGATCTGGCCATGGTGTTTGGCTTCCCCGACCAATCCAACGATTAGGATATCGCATTTAAATCATCCCTCACCCGCAGTCAGAAATAAGCTGGGGATTCAGATATTGCAGTTGTTGTCACTTGGCAGTATCAGGAAAAAAATTGGGCAATTTTAAAGAAAATAATTTGCTGCAAGAGGTGCCCGCTATGACCTGGCTGATATGATATGTCTGAGCTGATAATGAAATTTGTCATCTTCGAAAACCCCGTATACCCAATTTCAGTAAAAGACTCTGAGTTGTTCGTAAATTATTTAAAAAATATCATTTTCAAAAAATAAATTTGACCCTCTGTGCGTCTGTTTGCGTTGACTTTCCTTCTAAAGTAGGTAAGTTGTGTTAAATCGCTGTATTTTTACAGAACAGAAATCCGCCATAATTTTTTTCCATTACTTATAGACACCCTGTATATGTTACATAAACAATCATTGTTTGTTTATAAAGGAACTAATATTCGTCAAAACAAAAACTGTCGAAAACTTAGAACAATTGGCTCAATGATCAAAATAGGCTTCAGCAACACCAAAAAAAACAATATATTTGCAAATACAGTTCGGAAAAGTCAATGAGATTTAAACTCGTATCTAGTATATTAAGCAAGAACATTTGATCCTAAATCCTGATCAATAGATAGATATAGAACTATACCAAAGTAATAAAAATAATCCTTGTCCCCTTTGAATTAGTTCAAATTGCCTCGGCAGGCCTTGTCCGCTTTGAATTAGTTGTGTGAAAACATTCAAGTTCAGTTATATTCAAAATGAAGCCACACAATAGCGAGTAACGAAGCAAAGAATATTCAGTTGCCCAAACGATGTAAAGCAAATGTTTTGGGGGACTTATTAGACAATATTTATATGAATGACGCGTTTCAATCGATCTAAAAGGAAAATCAGACAATTGAATCCACATATGGCAGGAAGGAAAATAATAAACTACGTACTTTCGCTTTCAAAACTTGGGAATTGTTTATTTTTAAATAATGATTCGGTGATGATTAAATAACGTTAACAACGTTCAATATACCAGTGCTTTTGGTATGAACGATTACCTTCTAACCACGGTGACACATCCTATATAACTATAAAATACAACGTATTCTAGAACAGAGTATTGTATTCTTTTCATTTTTTATTCGAAGATACAGCATATCAAAGAGCGCAAGGAAGAGAGTCAGGCACTATAAATGATTGCCGTAAGAATGGTAATTGAATCGTACTTAATAATTTATAAGCATTCATCTGCGTGTTTTTAACGAACGAATCAATAATTTCAATAAATTATTAATGTTATGTTAATGTTCATTATTCATCAGTCATTAAGTTGAAACCAACAATGAGGTTGTAGTACTAGCAGTAGTTCCGGTATTTTATTATTGATAATTATTTCAATTAGAAAATTTTTGTTATAAAAATGTTGCTCTAACGACCGGGAAAAATTCTTGACTCTCTTTAGGTGTTTCCATTTACGTTGGATACACCCTGGACACCACAAGGCAAATAATCAGAACAGTTAATGATAATAATCCGTTTACGACTATTTAATATGGTACGGTCTAGATGATGGTTTCCTAAAGTGTGAGGAAGCGAAAAATGCGATCTGTTATATCTGCCTAAAGGAAACTAATTTGTGGAAAAGACCCGATGGTGTGCATGCAGAAATTGAACAGTATTCGATGGGGCATGAGTTAGAGATGTATTCATTTTAATTTCAGTCGGAAGAGCGGTTTGGTCCGAATTGGAGGCCTTCAAGACGCAGCAAGTCGGAGGGACCGCGCCGGGGAATCGAACACGAAACTGAACCTGGGGAACGCAGGAGAGAGTCCGATTCGGACGTGGAAAATATGGTAAAAGATAAGATCGATTTCTGTTTCTCCAGGCTGAAAGATTCCCTACCTGATACCCCGTTTAGAAGTTCTTGTATTACGTCTTTGTACATTTGAAATTGTAAAATTGTGTGCAGTTATCAAGTGTAAAAAGGCCTAAGGTGTACAACTACAAGATGCTTTACATAATCCCAGCATTCAAAAATGGCTTTCGGGGTCTTATTTATACTTGAAACTACGCCAGGAAGGTTTCAATATAACGGACAGAGCAGACTTATATAAGTAGATGGCTATCCAGACTGGTAAATGCTTTCAAAACAATAATCTACCAAATTGGATGAAGTAATCAAACCCTCTATTTTGGGCTGACAATGGACCACTTTTACGTACTTTTTAAGTTGCAAATGCCACAGTTTGGGTAGTAGTTTTATAGCTAATTGAATGTTGCACCCGAAAAATATTTTTGACACCGATATTAATTGAAAGTTGATACAATCATCAATTTAACTGACAAAAAACAATAATTAGCAGGGTCGCGAAAACGGGCTCCTGCGGAAGGCTATCTCGAAAATTAGCACTGAATATAGAAGGCAATTTGCTTGGCCTCCAGCTCACATTTCAAGAAGAGATGAAGTTGACGGGGCACCCAGAAAATCTCAATCTATGGGTGCCCTGAAGGCCAATGCTAATGCAATGGTTCACAAAAAAAGGATTGACGTCGAAAATAAAGATGGTAAGTTTTTTTTTATATAATCAGAGATGTTTTTCGGTATTTATGAGTGATTTATGAGGATTATGAAATTACACAGTGCTACCTATATTATGAACTGCGCTCAAGAATTTGTTGATCGATTGAAATTATCTTTTGCGAAATGAGGAGAATCACGGCATAATAGATTTCATGTTTTGAGTACATTATTTTCAGTTTTCTACTAGCAAAAGTACACAATTCTAGTAATTGACGAATGGAGCTATGGATTTAAATCCTGTAACTTTGAAAGTGAAGAATCCAGAAAGAAACTAGCGAAAAACAAACGTTATGTGAAAGCCCTGCATTATTCCGACCACCTATGCATCTTTTAAAACAGCAGCTAGACAACTCTCAAAGAATAGTTCCACTAACCCATTATATCCGGAATTTTTTGCATCCATTGCTTATTCGAGATTTCCTTAGTTGGCTAATCCAAATAATTCAGCTGTTTCATTTCTTTTTCTGAAACCGTGTTTATGCATGAATATAATGAACAATGTCAATTTGATGAACACAACAATAAATAACCTTAATAATACTAATTAAAAACTGATCAGCTTATGGGAAAAGTTGTTCAAAATACATCCATTAACTTCAATACATTGAATCACACGTTTATTAAACAATCATCTAACTAAAAAAATAGACGTTTATTCCGAAATGATGAATTTTTATCAATAATTCGACTTGGGTATCTATCGTTTCATAATACACTAAGGAATTCAGGTAACTCCACATCCTGCATGAATATCATGTCATGCCTTATGTTTAAGCAAATATTTAAAAAAAAACAGATATTCGATAGTCTTGCCAAATTTGTCACCTTCACAAATTGAATACCTAATTTCAGTAAAAAATCCAAGTTATTCGTGAGTACTTTTATTCACTTCAAAGGAAAGTTGTGTCGTATCCATTACTTATGGGACTCCTTGTATTGCGTTGTTTCTCTATTCTGCCGTCTCTATTAGACAGTACCATTGAAAATAAGCTTCTAAACAGCATGCAAATGTTTATTGACTAATTTCTAGAATTTTTCTCGAATTTCTCTCAATCGTCGAACGAAATCCTTACATAATGTTAACATATCTGAATGAAATTTCGAAGTATTCGCTAGATATTTAAAACATATTGTTTATAAAAAGGCTGCCGTTATTAAAGCTGGGCATGAAGTTTTTTACCTCATAATGTACTCTAATTGATTGATATTCAGTGAACCTTGTACTACTTGCAACTTTACTAAACCAATTGAGATCCCTAGTCGGTTACACGAACAAATGCATGAAATTATTTAAAAATATAATAATTCATCCTTCTAGAGAATGACCATTTACATTAAACTAAATGAAATATATTTCGATAGAGCAAACGTGCGGAATAAATGAAATCAATTGCATCCAGATTGTTGAGTGGGTGAAGTTGCTAAGAATATCACTAGACTTTTTCCGGCGCCGGATGAAAATCATCAAGATTGTAATTAATATTTTGTGAATTGGGATAATCCTCACACGTTCGCTTTTATACTTTTTCAAGACAAATTCGATCGACAAAGTTTTTAGCAATTTTATTTTAATTTTACTACGCTCCTAAGGAAGATTGTTAAAGTAGTATTTGAGGCTCTTATAATAGTAGCATCCCACTCACGAATGTGTTAATTTTTATTAATTCTTGCCAAGTAATAAAATTATCGGTTTGTTCCCGAACTTTACGTTAATACAAAAGGGTTGATTATAAATTTGGTTTCATCGAATCATTTTCCATATATTAATCAATCAAAAATACTCGAAATTGCGTTTAAATTCTGCCTTATCATATTGTCATTTTACGAGATCGTATATGAAAATATTTTAAGTCCAGCCCTTTCACCTGTTAAAATACAAGCTAATTGCTAAATTAAACAAACCAAAGCAGAAGTGAGGCGATAATATGGCTAACAGATAGTCAAATTGTATAATTAGTTTAAACATCCAACTACAAATACTTTCATTCATGAATCCTGACAGAGTAACATCGAACCTCTAACATTCTGCACAAACATAGAAAGTGTTTGTTAAATAGTAGCATCAATATAATTTAAAAAGGGTTATTATGCATGTTCATAACGTTTTTAGCAAGCGAACTGGAACCTTTAGTTGACGATCGTTCAAATCATGAAAAAGTGCGTGAAGAGCTAAACAGTGAGTATAAAAAAAAGTTTAAGCCTTTTAGTCAATACCAATATGTAAATGGACGATTTTCATCAAAACGAGGTGTTGCCGAGATTCGGAATGTACATAAAGATTTTTCTACAGACTTGGATAACGACGCGTCTTGGTACCGCGAAGTTGTTGAACTTCGTAAAAAAGCCGGAGAATACAAGGTAAGACCTATATCTACTATACATGTACATGACCACTTTTAGTAATTAACATCTTGGCCAAAATATAAAAAGTTGGTGGAAGTTCCTCTAGTTCATCAATACGTTGCTACTCGTAACATGTTACACGAGCATATCCGGGTAGTGGTGATGAGTCGAAACATGTACAAATTAAATTCAAATATTGGTTTCTAATGATAATTTTTCAACTATTTTTATAAAATGCATGGTAAACGGTAGAAACAAAAGTTTATACTAAAAATCAAAATAAGAGTGATACGCATTACTTGCCAACCTCAATCTGTGGCACTGATTAATACAAACATTTTCTCCAGTACTTAATTTGCTTTTTTGAAACTGATGAAATTTTGAAACATTGTAGCATAGGGGCTGGGGATCAGAGTTAGCACCTGAGCGGTTATCAGACATTTATAATAAACAAGTCGAGTTATGGGATCAAGTATCGAGAAGAAGCTCTTTATCAGCTTTGTCGCTAGCTTCCCATATGACTAAGTCATATACTAAGGAAGATAAAGAAGAAGACAATAATAGAAAAAGTTCGCCTACTAAAGCTTATCGGAACGCTGAGAATAATGCTAGAATGATTAGAGATATCATCAGACATCACTTAGAACGAACCACCGGTGGGTCTGGTAAGATTTGTGTTGTATTTTGAGTTTCCTGCATATTATGATAACTTTCTTACAACTTAGTTATATTTTATTCGATCAGTACCTTGCTCAACATTCTTCTTCAAATGGTATTCACAGTATTTTATTCAATTTTATTTTGCACTGTTTTTTTAAACATTTTGTCAATTGCTTCGGAAACAGCAATATTATAATTACATAATACAGTAATCAATGCGATCCATTCTCAGCACAAACGGTTTCTTTAAATATTTTTCTGGAAATTTAATTCAGTAGACATTCGTTAGTAGCATGAAAAGTTTAGTAGGTAGTAACTTCAATTCCATTGAAGCACTTTATCATTTATTTGTCAATGCAATATTTATTATGCTATGAGAAAAATACGATGTTTGTCTTCTGTAGAATTGGATGGGCTAATCTTATCGCCAACTAGAGAGAAACTAGAGCCAACTATTCCGAGAAAAGACGATGATTCTAGAGGATCGCAGAAAAATAGCCCCAAAAAGAGCTCGCCATTAAAAATTTCCAGTAAGCGCGGCAGCCAGAAGGGAAAAGATAGTAACTAAACCAAGGCTAATTGCTTGCGTGTGATAACAGTGGATTATTAATGTTATAGTTCGATCACAGTCGGTTGGGCCTACGGATACTTCCAATAAAGAAAAGCAATCTCCAAAGAGGCAATCTAGGTCTACAGTTAAAGAAGGGAGAAAGTCTGCCTCCAATACTCCTTCAAATAAACGACCTCGACCCTGTAAGATTACATATTGAGATTATGGTAGTTCATGAAGACGGATTAAGAGTGATATTTGCAATCCATTTAAAACATCGAAAAACAAAGCCGTACTGTTAGTCCCTCTCTGTGATTTGAAAATCACCAGTGTGTGCCAAGAGTCGCCCCTTGCTCTTCACATGTCGCTTTACTCATTATTTCACCAGTGTTTCCTGTCCTTCCCTTCCCAAATGGCCTGTACAGTAGTTTCGTGAATGTATGTGGCTGACTTGTTCCGGTTAGAAACCATTTTAATAATTAATTTACAGATGAATTTGCATTTGGATTTTTTATCTACCTAATAGGATGATCGCTTTTGTAAAGCTTTTTACATAGGGTCCCACCGGAAACCGTCAAGATTCAACACAAATATTTTTTGATGAAAAAAAAATCTGGAATTCTCGCAACTGTCTCTTCGGTTCAGAGTATTTTCAACAAAACACCAGTTTGACTTTTTATTTAATATACATATAATAAATAACGCGGTTTTAAACAGGATATGACATTCCCATACTGAATTTGGAATTTTGTGTAATGCTGCGATAACTAAGTTGTAGTCAAAAAATTTAAACTATTTATTAATTGCTCCTGTTACTTGAACATAAAAATAGAATCCATTACCCAAAAGAGATATGCGATGATTTCAGAACTTTTTATTTGCTACTTAAGCAATTCACCTCCTGATGGTGCACCCTCTAGGTGTTTCCTTTTAAATCACGGAAAATGTTCATTTGGATTTTTGGAATTTATTTAAACATACATCAATGTCAATGCCTAATTATGTCGAAATCAAAAGGAAATGCCTTTATCCAGCTATTTTGGCTTTGTCTATAATGCTTCTATTGTCTCATGTTTTGCACTTTATGTGGCTGCGCAACTTTCCGATAATAAAAACAAAATGGTTTCTGATCATGCTTCTGCATCAGATTGGTATTTCTAGACAATCAGAGAAAATGCCCAGTGTGTAAAGTTGAACTGTATCAAATGTTTCGGGTTTTTTAGCATCCCTGAACACCACTGTTTCATCCCGATCTAAACAAAGTTCCATAGTAACTAAAATTGAAGACGATAGATTGGCCAAAACAAATAAAATTAAATCATTAGGTATGATAGACTCATCTAAGCAAAACCGAAAAGGAAGTCACGAAGGTAAGACCTTCGGTAAGAATAAGGCACGATACTTGGAACACGCATTGTTACAAAAACATTGTAACTTTCATCTCAGTCTTCCAATGTGTAGCATCAGAGTAAAACTAGCATTTATCGATTATTAGGGTTTTAATAACGACAAATTGCTTTAGTATCGGAACAACCCAAGTCTGAACAAACATCTACTGATGTGAAGAAGAATCAGGAAACTGAACAGCCTGATAGCATAGAATATGAACCGGTGATCAAATCACCACCTGAACCAACTCGAGTGAAGTCGCCTGAGCAAATTATTATGAGATCACCTGACCCTGTTAACTGGACTGTGCCTTTGGATACAGGAAAAACTTTCACTGTCACCCAAAATGTTCGTGATGGTAAGTATAGCTGAATGATGATATGATTTCCACATACACCATGTGTTCACCATACACCATAAAGTAATAAGTAGGTCCGAGTAAAATTCAGAAATGTTTCTTTTAGAAAAATCTTGGGACACATTTTTTATTGTTTTCAATTGCTCATTTTTTGAGAAAATACTTTGAGAAAAAAATATTTTAGAAAAACATACAGAAAATGGCGGCTGAAAAAAGAATTGGCGTTCTATAAGATGAGCGTCCACTGTACAGATCAGGCTGAAGTTTTATTGATGCTCAGACATTTTTGTTTGTGTATTTCCATAAAAAATGTTATTTAACATGTCAATGATTATGACGCACTATTCGCGGAATATATGGGAAAGTGATTAAAACCGGAATTGAGAAAGATCCCGAATTAAACACAGCAACGACCAAGCGAACTTCTGGGCACATAGATCACCCAGATCATACATTTTCGCACAAGTGATGGGAAAATCAACTGGATAAAGAGTCTGCTTTTTGTCGATTTTTGTCGATCTCCAAAAAATTAAAATAAAACAAAAGTTCCTCTACAAAAAAATTCACAATTAAAAAGTGATGCAATGTTTGGAAAATACAAACTTTCACAATAAAAACAATGAAGTTATAATACCAAAATATTTGTCGTCAACCAATTTTAGGAATAGTTCATAAAAACTTATCAATAAAAATATAACCGGACGGTAATTTAGAATAGGACAATCTCGAAAACAAACACTGCTTAATGAAAAACAAAAATCAATGACATATATTCCAAAAAAATGAATGTTGCCCAGAAGAAACTTCATAAAAATGCTTAAATGCTTAGCTAGAAAGAAAGTTTTAAAATGATTCCCTTGTCAACACCGGCCCATTGGAAGAAAATTACGGTTTTTCGAATAACGTGCTGTTAATAATTATGAATATAAATGTATGACCAAGGAAGAACTGGTAAAAATTGCATACTTTATAAAATTAGAACAAAGAAAAGGAGGAATATTTACAAATTGAAAATAATGAAAGATATAAAGAATAATATATAGGTTCTATAAAAAGATAAGGACAAAAGAAAACATTGTACTCATCAGAATATACAAGCACTAGAGAGCAAATAAAGAAAAATAAAATTTAGCCTATTTATACGAACAAATATATACTGTTGCACAATATATGCATAAAGAATAAATCCAGAAGCCAAGTAAAGTTCAGGCCAACTGCCCTTTCGTTATTCTTTCAATTGTCTATTTTTCTAGGAGAAACTCAGTGCAGCAATTTGTTCCTGTCTTTAATATGTTTAACCCTTATATAGCTTACATTTTATTAAGAACTTTGTTTAAATTTTAGGCGACCCGGCCAGTCGTCCACAGAGTGAAGTAAAAGCTTGGACGCCTCCAGAACTACCACCACCCGTTGCCCAATCAGCCCCCCCGACTTTAGTAGCTCAGGGACAGGCAAGCTTGTCGTAGGCGCTAAGAGTCTTGACTTATGCTTAATCCATATTCGATTTGATTATGTTGCTTTAGGTATGGATAGAAGAAATACGTGAACTTAGGCCAGGGCAGGGCCATTACTGCACAGGTTAGATCAATCTAAATGGACTTGTATAAACAACATTAATATCGTTTTTAAATATCTTCTATTTTACAGTATAAGACTTCCCATCCTCCATTTACAGTATAAAACACAGTTACCATCCAAAGTTGTATCGTCGTAATCCAAAGTTGTCCAAAAATGATACTTTTGGGAGTATAAATTAGTGTACCATGAGTGATTAAATGATTATACAAGGCTTAACAAGTAGCAGTATACTGTGCCATTTTAACAGGGTAGTAGCCAAAAGTTAAGACAGTATTTGTGAAACGGCATACACTTAGAATTTTAGCTGTCCTTATTTTAAGTCATACTTTAAGCCTTTACATTACTTAACTGCTTAGATATATGTTTAATGCTGTCCATATATATACCGAGTCCGTCAAAAATTCACAGCAGGAAATATTCTTTCTCGATATTAACCAAAGTGTAACAAACCATATATCCAACGTCCCATTTTTTATAAGATTTTGACAAAATTGTGATCTCTTATCAGTGCACTCGTGTTTCTGCCGCATAAGGATATACAATCTACAGTTAAATAATATTCATATATTTTGTGTAGATGCGTTTGCTTGCATTCCTGTTAATTTAGTGTACATCGAACGCACTTATTTATTGATATTATAAAAATTGTAAAAGATAATATATAAGGTTTCCGTTAAAAAAATATAAAAACTTGTTTCATTCCGCAGTCCATCCCAGGGAAGATACAGACTTAATAAGAAGAGCTTAAACTCTTCTAATACCAAAAATATACTGAGCTCATTGACAGTTCTAAATAAAAGTTTCGGGAAGTAATAAACCCGTATGTTCCTTTTGATGATTCAAATGTGTTTTCATACTAATTGTAAACTCAAATTAACACCCCAGGTAGCATTTTTGATCTAGATAACGTCCAAATGGCAACATTTTTTGGTTAACATTGGTCGAATCCGTGGACCCACAAAATATCCGACGAATATAAGTAAATCGGAGATTTATGACGGCTAAATGACGACTCATAAACAAGTCTAAATGACGAATGTTAAAGTGCAAATTGGCCGAGGTGGATCCCTTATAGGGATATAAATATGAATTTACAAATAAATGAATATGAAAAGGGAGGAAATGATGACCTGATTTCCTGAGAAAATCGTCTTTGTTATCCCATACTGAATCAAAATCTACATTTAATACTTCAAGTAAAATCAAATTTTTCCTTAAAATTAATTCCTCGTTTGTGAGAGATAGAATAAGTACACTTTTTATGTGTTCTTATACATTATTTAATTCGTTTTGTGCATTGCTGGTTAGTAGAAATTTAAAAACAAAAGGTATCGCTGTTCACTGGGTCGACTAGTCGATTGATAACAATGGGTATTTAAAACGTTAAGAACTAAGCGGTGAAATAATACGCAAACATTTTAAGAAGTGATTTAATACATGGAAAATTAATGTCTCTATAGAGGAGTTTGAGAAGTGCGAAATTTGACAAATATACTCAGGGATTGGCGTGACATTTTTTTTCTCCTTTCACAAGGCAAGAGACAAATACTGAATTTAAATAACACTGTTTTACAGGGGCTTTGTCCACTGTGTTTTATATGTTTTTAATTATTTCATCGGATATAGCAAAGCAAGTATGAAATCCGTTTCGAATTTTTCTTCTAAAAGGAAATTTTTTAGAAATATAGTGACACAATAAAATAATTCATATAATATTATCGTCAGCATTAACGCATATCAATTTACTTACAAAAGCATCAGTTGAACTTGATATTACCAAAATAAATACTTCAACTTTAAACAATATGCGTAAATCCTATTAATTTCCAATAAAATATTGATTTTGGTTAATATTATTTTTCAGTGGCCATCATAATATTTCCTTGAACGCTTTAGAATGAAATTTTAAGGACAGTTTTCACTAATCAATGAAATTCATTTCATCAAAGAAGTTTTGAAACTTTGAAGACTATGAATATACAGGCAGCGCCGTCTTATTGAGCGCAGCTGAATTAAAGTCAGGTTCTTCGTTCTCATTGTTTTCCATTAGGGAAACCTGTGATAGGAACCACCGCGCTACATTTGCTGCCTACCATAATCTACAACACTCAATTTTTGTTACTGGGGAATATCTGCAGCATACAGGATGAATACAGGGTGTAAAAATTGATCCGTGCCGAAAGGTGAAAAGGAGAAAGGTTGTGTTGTTTTTAACTAACTAAATTCGTTCCAATACTTCTATAATAAATCCTGCTCAATCAGGAATACAAATCCGGTCTAGTACCAACAGTACCACCTAGTCAATTCAATCTATTTTTATAATAATTGGCAACTCTGATAGCAATTTATCTTCCGTACCTTTACCTTATCAGCTTATCACCTGACAAAACAATTGAAAAAAATTAACCTAACATCACCTGGAACCCACTATTTGGTTACGTCATAACAGTTTGCTGGAAACGGTACCATTTTCCTACATTCCACTAGAATACCAGGAAAAAAATGCTAAGAGGTTCGGTAGTTCGTGTGCATACATTGCTTAAAAGTGCAACAGGCTTGCAAAATGGTTTACAGCCCCTGGCAGCTGGTAGTACCAGATTTATGTCCAAAGAAAACACTGAAACTGACGCCCAGTTCGATCAACGGTAAGATTGAGAAAAACGGTTTTTGGGCAAAATGTGCAATATAGAAGCCTTAGTTGCCACCTAGAGCATCCGTGTTTCAAGAGAAAATCTTAAAATCGCTTGATTTGTTAACTAAACGTTTCTAAAAGATGACTGCCCTGCCAACAAAAACTGTAACTGATGTAAAAAATTAATATCGTCAAATAATTAAAGTATGCAATCAAATTATCCGAATGTTCTTAATGTAGGACACTTATCTCTTTCAAATATTTTCAACACATCCCTATTTACATCTAAACACACTGCAACTCACACATTTCATCATAATCTGACGCCAAGTGTTTCTCTCTACTTTTCTCATTTACAAAACATTTTTTAACAGCAGACAATAACGTTAGTATTGTTTAGCAAGTCAACTTAATGAATCTGTAGATCTTAAAAATAGAATCATGACATCAAAATAAGTTCGGGTAGTAGCGTAATTAAGACCCTCAAAAATACTTTAATTGGTCTTTTGATACACTTCGTAGACAGCAGATTCTTCAAACGTAACACCTAAATTTCTCCTAGTCTATAGGGAATAGCGAGCACATGTAATAACAATGAAACAATCCTCTCAATGATTGTTGCAGGTATGAAAACTTTTTCAACAACCCTCAAATTGATGGATGGGACGTACGACGTGGAGTAACAGATTTATTGGGTCACGATTTGGTGCCGGAACCAAAAATATTAATTGCCGCATTGAACGCCTGCCGTAGAAATAATGATTTGGCTTTAGCCGTCAGGATTTTGGAGGCTCTCAAGAACAAATGTGGCAGCAAAGTAAATGAAATTTACCCCTGGTACATTCAAGAAATGAGACCAACTTTAACTGAGCTTGGTATTCCGACCCCTGAGGAGCTGGGCTACGACAAACCGGAGTTGGCACTTGAAAATGTAGATGACATGTAACATGTTGAAATCAACTGAATTTAGTGAGCATTTATGTACTTCAAAGTCTAAAGATTGAGACCAATTAATGTTAAAGTGAAATGGTTGTTTAATAAATCATTCTTAGCGCTATACACTAATTACTTTTATTGATGTTTCAAATGAAGTACAATTCATTATTTTTGGCAAACCTTAATATGCCCGTATTTCCATTATGGTTCGACTTGTGTTTATGGAATACATATCATGGACACATTTAATTTAGCATTTATGAACGTTTACAGTGAAACTTTATCATCACTTTGGTTTTGCCTCTCTGCTTCAGCGCTAGTGCGACCAACTATGTAAGTACCTGAAAATTAAATTATATTGTTCATTATTGCAGCTATGATAAGTACCGCTTAAGGTTTCTGAGATATTTGAAGTTTCGTCAATTTGAAATAAAAAATTTAATTTTCTATTGAATATACTATAGAGGTAGCCTATACCTAACTATGCAGGATTTCACAGAAATCGTGTACTTTCAGGATTCATGCTGATATTATCAAATTTATATTTTAGTGCTGATTCAGATACAAGAAATCGCTTCTATACAATTTTGTTTTGATAGTAGTTTATTTACAAAATACACATAAAAATGAAAGTTTACTCTAAAGCTGAACGAATTGATTGATTTTTATTCGGAAACCATTGAAAAGAAATTATGCTGTTAGAGGAAATAAAACAACAGAATTGGGAGTTGCAGCAGAGATCAGTCAACTAATATATGGTTGTAGCTTCTGTAATTAAAAACTCGCAAATTGTTAGGTATCATAACATAAGCCAAACAAGTGTCTCAAGGATTCTGCAAAAACATGATTACCATTATTACAAAATTCAGCGTCAAGAACTTTTCCTTAGCGATGTGGGTTTTAGATAAAATTTCAGGCAACGAAAACTTTTTGATAGAGTTTTGCTTTCTGACTAACGCACTTTTCACAATAATTGATCTGTCAATAAAAGCAATTTCCATTATTACTCGGATTCAATCTCGCACCAATTTAGAATTATCCGAAATCAGCACCAAGTGGTCAGTAAATACGTGAGAGCGGAATAATGGAAATTAATTTAATTGGCCCCTAGTTTCTTCAAAGACATTTGAATGGAAAAATCTTTTAGAGTGTAATCAGTCATCTTCCAATGTTATGAGAAGGCAATCCGTCAGATATTAGAGCTGCCATGTGGCTTCAAATGAATGGAGCGCCAGCACATTTTCATAAAATCACACTTTCAGTAGATTCATTTTCATCTTTTGGAAAATCAAGTTAATTTTTACACAGAATCTCCTATTGAGGAAAAAATGACGATAATTTGCGAAACATTATACGTTTCAACATGTTTGAATATCCAGAAGAATTGAATTGATCCAGAAGAATTTCACCGTGAAGTGAAAAAATATATACAGAGTGTCCAGCGACTAGATGCTCACAACTTAAGCGCGTATTGTTTGGTCGTATGAATGCAGCAGCAGTTATAGTATTTTGTATTAGCCAACCTCTGATTTATGGCCATTTGAGTAAGCCAAACTTTTTATGTATCCCCAAATATGTTGGTCTAGAGGTAAAAAATCCGGTGAAAGCGGAATCCAGAGAACTTGGCTTCCTTTTGCAATCCATCGATTAGGAAATTCATTTTTTCGGTATGAATTACTTAGATATGTTAGACACATTTATTCCAAAATGTGGAAGTACGCCATCATGTTAAAGCCACATGTTAATTATGTTCTATAGTGTTCTAACATCCTCCATTCATTACTTGATTTTATTAAGAACACCACAGCACAAATTCATGAAAGTGCCTTTCCACGGTTTTAAAGTGTTGATGACTGTGAGTGCCTGATATTCGTAAATCCATATCCGGTCAATTGTCATCATCTTCATCCGCAAACAGAATTTCTCGACAAAGCAGTTGATGTTCAATAAACCAACGAGAAAAGTTGACATGTGCAGCATAGCATTCAGGTTGTAAATGTTGAACTAATTGTCTGTGACATGGGTATAAATAACCAATACTCTTCACTGTTTAATTCGATTAACATAAAACGACGAGATCCTTCCGACGCTGGTCTGGGACTATTTTCGATCATGTTATTCGCTTCCTCTTCATCAAGTTGTAAAAATGTACATTGATGAATACTTTCTTATTAGGTATTCTGCGTGCAGGAGACTTCGGCTGGGAGTCCGATTTCCTTCACAGTATCCATAAATAAAATTAATATCGGCAATATCCATCATTTGAAAATGTAGCCATATTTTTCACAGCTTGTGCAAAAGAAACGTGTGCTAAACATTTGTAATTTTATTTTGGAAACATGCAAAGCGATTTCTAACAGACAGAAATGATCAGTTTATGATTTAAAGGGTGTCACAACTTTTTTAAATATCTATCTATGTTATTCCTAGTTCTGGCCATAGAGAAAGTAAATCCTTATTTTACTTACTCTATGGTTCTGGCATTATTTTATACTACGAAATCACTTGTATATGATCTGCCTGCAGTCGATTGTACAGAGGCACAAGCATTCGCCTTATTAGAAGAAACCACCTGCTAGAAGTTTTAACTTTTCTTTCGTGCTATAGTACAGTTACCGGATAGTAGAACTATCTGATTCTTTCAGCATGCCACGTAATCCTGGATATCAGGTTTATCTCACATAAATACAACTAGATTTCCTGCTTATAGGAAGCTTGTGCGAAGATCAATTCTTGTTCGAAAGCATAAGAGGTTCGTTCTTACACTAGATGGAGACACTACTGAAAATATATTAATAATGTGAGCTTAAGCGCTGATGCCGCTTTATCGAATCGTTCCCTAAATACATTAAACACCCCGAATATAAAAACCTAATAAGTAATGGAAAAATAGCAACTAGCACTAGCTTGTCTTTTAATGACAGCGTTTGCTGCATCGCATTTCGAGCAATGAAAACTTACTTTTTCCCGAACTCACCCAATGGTGACACTCACTTCAATAATAAATGAAAAAAATGAAGATGAAACCATTATCTAATTGATGCCTGCATTAGGAAATTCAAGAGATGATTTCAATAAGAGGAAGTTCAATACGAGGAAATTCCGATTTTCACCATGGTTATGAAACTTTATTCCAAGCCATCATATTATATCACGTTGATCATTAGTAACAAGACGAACACCATGAGAATAATTTCACCATTCTGTCTGTTGATCTGTATAACAATTTGTTTAAAAATGTTCATTCTTCTTCATCGATAACTTCATATTTTATTTGGATTTTTGAAGGTAATGACTCTAAACGACAGTTGAAAACTTATTTGTTTAATTAATATCTCCCTTAACCAACATACCAACGGATTTAAGCTTAGATATTATTGAAAAAAATGCATTTACCCACGGATATTTGCAGAATTTGCTTGATACATTTACGTACCGGATAACGTTTGTTTTTCAAACGACGTTTCAAATATAATCAATCAAAACTTAATAACCACCATACATTTAGGTTCCATATCTGAACGAGAATTTAATTCGATTAAGTAGCTCGGCAGTGTAAATAACGTAGGGAAGCTTATGCAGGAATATTTACAGAACTTCAGGAAATTTCTGTAAAGCACTTAGCAACACTGGCCGAAGAGCAGTCAGCAGTGTCAGGTGTAAGAAGTGTAAGGTGAGTTGAGTTCGATGGTTCTGAAATGTAATGAATGTAATCCGCATCGGAAATCGCATATCGGAGTAGTAGGGATTTCTTCATTGGTGTGCTGAAGAAGGTGCCCTCAGATTAACGCAACTCGAATAACAGAAATTAGTTGGTTATTTGCGTTGACAAAATTAACAATCAACATTTCCTTAGTGTGGCCGAACGAATTTTTGTTGGTGTTTATTTTTCAGTGATAAATGATGAATGTAAACAATGCCCTACGTTGCGATTAGGGGGTTGCATACAGAAATGGACATTGATCATCGGAAACATGTGAGTTTCTAATCCACTCTGCATGGGATTTGGTGTCAACAATTCGTTTTCCAGTATGAGCTTTTTTATTTAACATTTCACTAGCAGAACAGATTTAACAATAAATAAAAAATATACTGTACGATTAAGTTATCTAAGTGTTACAAGTTCAAACGCTTTCAATAAACAGGAAGGCGACAAATTATTGGATTAAACATCGCTATTAAATTTAGTTTCACTCCTCAACAAATAACTATTGAATGGCAGGGTGAACCCTTATTCACTTTCCGTCGGTGAAATGTTATTCACATTTTTTTTAATTAGTGATCTTAGCGATGTAGAATAACTACTTCATACAGGAAACATCATATATGTAGGAAACATCATATCATATATATAAACAAATTTCCAGTCATAGAATCCAATAATTTGACTAATTAGTACCTACTTAAACCAGTAGCCATTAATACTGAAGTAATAATCATTATGACAAAATAAGGAAAATTCGTCACCGCTTCGTGAAAAGTAACATTAGAAATGTGAAATTTTGGAAAAAGAATAAACTGGGGTTGAAACGGAAAATTTAAAAAGTTGCATGGACATTTTTATAACTTTACTTTCCTGAAGTTGTTGAAACTGTTTAGCAAGCAGCCAACTTTTTATTCCAGTTAGTTTCACATTACACAGTGACGAACAGCTAATGCGAATCCCAAAAATGTTCAAATAAAATATAATTTTTGTATCACTCCGTCTTGTTTTGCGTTAAAATGTGTTCAATGGAAAAAGATACTGTTTTCCCCCGAACAAGGCCTACCGCTAGGGTATCCGCTATCACCCCTTCTATATAATATATTCTGCCATTACGTGCAACCACGACCAACTCGACAAAATTAGTACAAAAACTGCCACAAAGATATACAAAGTAATATGTAGACCTTGACTATGGACATTCACTGAAAGCGAAAGCATCCAAAAAAAATTAAACAACAAAACAAATTGCACCTAGATCAATAACAAAAATAAGACATCCGCAAAACCAATTACACAATCCTTCAAACCAACTACTCTACGAACGAGCAAAAATAACTAGAATAACCGAAAGACTACTTCAATTACCAACAAAATAGAACAATAATCCCCACAAATGGACCATACTCAATCCTCTTTGTCTTACAAGGCAAGGCAGACAATCCCGCTGTCTCTTCCCTACAACAACGTTACTTGAACGATTACAAACAACACAACTGAACCGACCCGCCAGACAATAAAAATACTTAAAATAGAGTTTAGTTTAAGATAAGCCTAGAACAGGACAATTTTTTTTATATAGATTTATAAATAACTTAAACACGCAAAAATTATAGATTTTAATTGTTCACCTGATAATATATTCCACAGCAAATGAGATGATTATTCCACTCTGGATATAAATTTAGTTCCCTTCGGGTAAAACGAAATGTTGTCGTTGTTGTCTTTTTATCATTTAGATTTGCAGTTTTCAAGATGGTTTAAGTCTCCATCCGGAAATGTTTTCCTATCAATTTCAACTTGACTGTCAGAGAGCCAAATTCGGATTATGCTTGTTTCTAGACAATTAATTTGATATTTAAAACTTCAATAACCTATAACTTCCAGTTTTTCAAATAAGACCACTACTTGTTATTGTTAGTGAAATATAATCGGACACTGTGATGTATAATCGATCCTTCTGGCTTGGTTCTAATTGAATTTTCTTCGTGAAATAGGTGTAAACATTGCATAATTATCGAATTAATTGGTGCTGCAATTAGATGGTATTACTTACTAATTTCTAAACTACGTCAATTAATTACGGATGCCAATGAAACACGCACTGCTGGCCAGACAGGGCTTGATCGTCATGAGAAATTGAATGGTTTACGTTCTTAAATAACATCATTGATTGAGGCGTTTGAATTGTTATCATCCAAGAAAGCTTTCAGAAAATCGACTCATTAAAATAGAAAAAATGTCAAGTTTCAAATTAATTTAAATCTTTTTATAATAAATTAACAAATCATGTAATAAAGGGTGTAGTAACTCACGATACAATTTATTACACGATTTGTTATGATGGTGTATTATTCGCATAATTTTTTAAGTAAATGTTTTCATCCAGAATTTTTACTCATTAGCGAATGATATTAAAGTCGATTCTTTTATCGTCAAAGAAAGCACGCAAACTGTCCTGTCCATCCAATGTTGACTGAATTGAACTTTTTTAAGCAACATTTTTATGCGATTCTAATAAGTTGCGTATGAAAACTATACACCTCTCTCTTTTAAGTTTTGAAAAACTCAGAAACTAAAAATATTACTGAATGAGTGGCGACTTCTATTCCCACGACATTGAAGGTTTTGATGATTGGCAAATGATCAAAGATTCGTTAGCAAAAACAGTTCGTAATAATTTAATAGTTACGCCCAGATATCCAAAGGTTTTGTTGCTTAATGGTTGAATAACTTTATGTCTCGATGGAGGGTAAATATTATTTTTATTTAATATCCCTTTTGATAGAGTTTCGACTCAAGTCCATATTACTGTCGAGTTGTCAGGCCATGTCTTACTTTGCAATTATCCATTAATGATGCCCACGCGCTTACGAATTTGCTATGTAATAATACATGCAAACTAACAAAGAATATGCAATTCGCTGCAGAGCATTCCTTGCAAAGAGTTTCTCATAACTGACTTGATTGACCACATTGATCATTAAAAAAATGCTTGGCGAAGTAAACCGTAATAAAACTTTTTTCAATCCGTGATAATCAATTACCTTCGCAGTTAAATGAAAATGAATGAAACTTTATATAACGTAAAAATTGATATATAAATAAATGTTCAGGTCAGGTGCTATAAGCTCGCACACTTGAGCAAACTTTTTTCATTTATATTGCCTTTGTTCCTGCAACTGCCACTTCGTGCAATTGCCGAAAAGTTAATTAACTGATACTTTTAATGTTTTTATAAAATCGAAACAAATCTTTTGCGGGACTAAAGCTTATATATAAATAAAAATATTTGCGACTTATATAGGATGTAGGCCGAGGTATCAGAGATACATACCAAATCAAACGAACGAAAAGCGAAGAGAAATATCTCGCATACCTCGGCAAACACCCTGTATTGTAGATGCGGAACAAACATTGAAATAACTGAACACAATTATGTGAAACAAATACCGTTGAAATAATTATTTTACCCAACTTTCTAAAAAATAAGTATCATTCGTGATAATTGCTAAAACCTTGGCCATTAGGAATTATTAATATTTCGAAGAAATTATATATGTATCTACTTAATTACACAGGAATAGTATGGAAATTTAGGAATCAATAAAATTAATATAAGGTTGTGATAAGTATATCATACGCTTATTACGTTATGTTCTTTCCATTTATAATACATCTTCTATTTGCATAACGATTGTATCCAATGACGACATTTTTATTGTTGCTAAGTTTGTATAAGCTCTAATTCATTAGCATTGGGTGGAGATAGGAAGCCCCCATTAAAGCTTTTTCAACTTTGTGAACATAGTAGATAAAAATCTGATAAAGCTGAAAGCACGCTTAAATAATTTTCACAGTTATGCTCATATGTAGTATGCATTTTATATTTTCCGGTATCGCTATTGAAAAAAATGCAATAAAAAATAGAGCTCGCTGTAAGTGTTCTTGACTTCAGAATCTGCAGATCGTTGTTCCTTTATAATCTTTTCTTAAGAGTATGTTCTAAGATGGTAAGTAGTAAGTCGACTACATTGTCTTTTCAAAGGAGTTACTGTAGCATGTGCTACGTAACATTTTTTGCGATGAAGTACTTTTCTCTTATTGCTGGCGCTTTGTTCGTCGTTAGTAAAAAGACCCTAACAAGACGTTGCAAATACCTAATTTTAGATACATTTTTGCAGAGTGTTTTTGAGGATATATAATCAATCAATTATAAAGATATAAATTAAAAAGAACAAACAGATTAAATAGAGAAAATCTCTATTTAATCTGTTTGTCTCTTTATTTAATTTAATTAAATACTTCTATAAAAATAACCCAAGCAATTCATTAACTTGAGATTCTTCTCAGGAAATGAAAGGAAAATAAATCAGGTCAAATCTAAAAATTTAACAGAAAATTAACCCTTTTATTTATTTCAGTAACGACATACTAACATATAGCTGAGACAAAATATGTTGATAAAATGTCAAAAGTGCATCAGCCGAATGCAAACAACCTCATAAGCAAAATCCGGTCTTATTTACTTCTCACATCAAAAGCCATGCAAGATATAACTGGGAAAATCCACATTTATTCTATGAATATGGAAGCGCTTTTTTTTCTAAATGGTATTATGTTGGTTTTCAATGTATCAATTTCAAGTTAATTGTAAGCAATTGCTATGTTAATCTGTAAATGCATGTTTTATAAATGCAACTCAATAGTCCTGGACATAGAGTTTCTGAAATTCAAAATTTTAGAGTAATTGCCTTGAAATCGACAACTAAATTCTCGCTTTGTACGAACTATTCCAAAACCGTAAATTATCGTTCATTTTACAACAATACCGACGCTGATAATATTTCTTGAATAAGTTATAAAACCAGATAATGTTAGTATATTGCACATGCGTTTACAAAATTTAAATATGCAGCACTCAAGAGACAGAAACCGTCGAACAATTAGAGTACAAAATTACTTATTTTGCAATTTACTTAATTGTATTGTTCACTTGTTACATGCTGATCTGTTTCACGCGTAAAGTTACGCATAAGAACTGTAAAACAATGTTTCCGTAGTTAAATTACTAATTTGAATTTTGCAATAGAAAATAACTGAATTTTATTAACTTATAATTGCGTTTGAAAAGGTCAACATATTTGAATCATGCAAAATGTATACGATGTTAATGGAACTGATTGATGCAATTTAAACTTATTAACACTAGAAATTCCAAGTGTTGCTGTAGTTTCTGATTAGATATAAATAGGATTGAAGGAAATAGGTTTTCCTGTTTTGAATGGAAGCCCATTTAAGCTGCTGAGAAAATTGGATTAGCTATTTGGACTTGACGAGATTTGTATTAGCTATTTTGAACATTGATACCATACAATTTCGTTACTTGTTCAAACAGATTAAGATAATGATGGTCTGCTACAAGAATCATAGCAGTTACTTAGCTCTAGAAATCGAAAATTCCTACCGAATAATATGGAAAGTCTTGTTTAAGGCGGCTTAAATTACAACTTTTCATTACTATGTGACATCTACGTGTTTCGCAATGTTCTTAACCGATCGGTAAAAGTATAGGTGTTATCGTTTACGAGAATAGCATTCGCTTTTAGAGCGACGGCCAAATTTATATAATACTAAAATATGCGTTATCGAAATTTTGAATGTATAAATAAGTATAAATAACACAAAATACATACAAAAAACAATACAAAATAATTAACAGGAGAGGCAAAAAACCGTTTCAACCAATTAGTCGCATCATTTTCAAGGAGAGCATATAATTATTGCGGTTTACAATAAAATCAATTTTTGCAGCACAGTTGTGGCAATTTTATTCTATTGATTAGAGTGCATAACACACTGTATCGGAAATACAGATACAGGTACTTCCCGGGAAAAAAAAATGTACAACCTTTTCCTAACAAGATATAAGACTATCAACGCTGAAGATCGATCTTTATTAAATAACTTTTAAAGTATTTGGTAATTCGATAATATTTTAATATGATAAATAAAGACCCGTTAAAAGCACATCTGTGCAACTCTTTGCTGTTGAAGTTCGCCAGGAGCCGACCAGCTTGTACATATTAATGCTGATATTTTTAACGCCCTGAAAGATACAGACACCAAAAAGCTACTTCTAAATAGCTTGAACCTTAAGCTAAGAAAATATACTTTTGTTTCAAATTGGGAAACTGAACCGTTTTCGGTTTAAACCATGTTTTTTCATAAAACTATAAATTATTAATTTCTATTTCAAAAAAGTTTAATTTATTTAAAAAATTATTTCCATTATAGACGTGTTCTGGAAAACGGTTCATTTTATCGATGACAAACAGAACCTTTTTTTCGAATATTTCGACGTTATCATACAGGGTGCTAAAAATTTGAAAATTAATATGTGCCAGCTAGCCGGTCCCTGGCGGATTTAACAATAAAATTATATTCAGGGACACCATTTGAAAGGGCCTTAACTAGAATATATATCATTAAAAAATTTGCAAATTTGACCAAGTACTTCAATAGTTATTTGTTGGATCTGTAGATATTTTTATATAAACTTGTCATGTTATTTAAACACCATGTATAGTATTTTAAACGTACCAAATTTCCTGGAAAATATAACCACTTGTCGGTGCAAAATGTCCTTAAAATATTAAAAAAATAAATAATGGAGTCTTAAAATCGAAGGTCCTGCTTCCTAAAGCTGGCTATCCAATATAAGCGTTATGTGGTGCTCTATTATTGATTTAAAATATTTATTTAGAAATGGAAATAAAATTATTGACATGGTTTGCTGCTTTAAATTAACAACTTTGTTGAACATTGATGGAACGCACATTTGTCGATTAACAGATTTAATTTTGTTCGAATTTTCATATTATTAGAATCCGGTTGAATGAAGCAATAATAATAATCAAAAAGCTGATTATTGTAATCTTCAATGTTATTTACTAACAAATGCATTAATTTTCAAATTACAGTATGTTTGCCGTTAATATTTTATTAAATTGGATTCCAAAATCGTGCATGTAAACCTAAATATTTAAATCACCTTTCAATCGTCCAGAAGAGTAATGCTCTTCTTGCTTTTTCTATAAAAGAATATTCATAATTTCAGTAATTTTTTTATGTAATATTATATAATATCATACTTCAAAAATTCGAAATATGCCAGCTTTTACCCACGTAATGCTCGAATATTACATCATGTAGTCGAATTTTTAGGAAATCTTTAAATAGACGAAAGTACGCCATATGGAACATCAAAGGCGAATGACTAAATATCGACTAACTGATTATGTTATTAGAGATCTGATAATAAAGTCTGACAAAGACTTACCTCCTGAAGGAACATTCCGATAAATGTATTTTTTAATTTATATGTTACTCGTGAGTTTTTCGAGCTTCTAAAATGTCGTTGAAAAGAATTTATTCCTGATGTTTCCAAAGCAGGAGTTGCTTGTATATTCAGAGGTCGTTTGCTCGGCGCAGCAAACTTATCTGAAGATGCTAGTCAGTCGTGCTAGCGAAACGTCATAAAATAATTGTTTTCTGCCACAGCTTAAAAGCCCAAAAGACTCATATTCTTGTGGTCTTGCAATTTTTTATTAAAGCTTATTTTATTTAGGAAGAATGCAGCAGGTGGAAATGTGTCTCTATCTGATACTATCATTGATTACTTTGATCGTTTGTTGCACACCATATTAGTTATTTACAAAAAAATAATTTACCATGTATAATGAATAAAAATAATAAAAAATAATTATCCATTGTTTCAAATATTTCTCCGATAGTCTGCCTGAGTAAAATTGCTTTAATAATTAACTAAGAGTATGCCGCTTATATTTATTGTTACATTCCGAAAGGAAATTTCGACTTTCAGCCTTGTATGTAGCAAATATATTAATTAGTAACAGTATGTGTTTTTTGTATCTTTAGGTACTCTAAGAAGGGACATGCCCTATGATGAGCACTGGACGGAGCCAGGTATGGCGCCGTCGAAGTGGGTCGACTTTGTGGTTACGTGGTGGCATAATAATATTCATAATTATATTTATATGGGTGCAAATAAGTTTTATCGACTTTGGGGCATCTGTCCCACCCTATCCCGACTACAACGACTCCCAAGCAGCCATACTTAGTATGGTACCTGTAGTGTTGCACAAGTTTCTAGCACCTAAGCCTAAAAACGGTACAAACCTAGGTCTAAACGGCAGTTACAATAATTTAGGATATTTTAAGGCTACTTTTAATATATCGGATATCAAACGAAGCATAGCACAATACAATCTTCAGCAAACTGTTTACAACGAAGACCTCTTTGGGCCACTTCAAAACGACTCCATTGTTATTGTTATACAGGTGAGAGCATTTTTCAACTTTTACTATTCAATTGGTGTCCTAATTTTTTACTTTCACTTTCAGATTCATGACCGAATAACGTATCTTCGTCATCTCATAGTTAGTCTAGCTCAAGCGCGTGATATATCACAAGCACTTATTGTATTTTCTCATGATTACTATGACGAAGAAATTAACACTTTGGTTCAGAGCGTTGACTTTTGTAAAGTGATCCAGATATTTTATCCATTTTCTATTCAAACGCATCCTAACGAATTTCCAGGTGAAGACCCGGGAGATTGTCCAAGAGATATTAAAAAGGACAAGTAAGTCAATTCTGTTGTTTTCTAAAAATAAACTTAGAAAATTATGTTTTTATTTATCTTGTTTTAGAGCGTTACAGTTAAAATGTAATAATGCTTTATATTCCGATCTTTACGGTCATTATCGGGAAGCAAAATTCACACAGACCAAACATCACTGGTGGTGGAAAGTGAATAGGGTTTTTAATCAACTAGACGTAACCAGAAATCATTCAGGCCTTGTACTTTTTCTGGAGGAAGATCACTACGTAGCCGAGGACTTTATTCATATTTTGAGACTCATGTCCAAGACTTGTAGTGACAAAATTTGCAATATTTTATCATTGGGAACATATTTGAAGACTTACAACTACTACGGCGATTCGAAAAAGGTAACACTTTGTTTATGTTTAGAATTAATTTTCTTGCGCCTCTAGAACCTTTATATTCCAATAACCTACATCCTGTCTATTCTTAAGAAACGGCGTAATGAAATTATGGACAGGATGTGTTATTTTTACACAATTTCTTTTATCGTTCTTCATGCTTTATAATTTATAGTTATTACATTTATGATATATTTCTCACAACATAATTATCTATTTCATTTGTATATACAGGGTGTTTTTTTTTTATCTTGAAACACTTAAATATTTCGGAATCAAGCGATCCGCGGAAGAAATGTTTCAAATAGGGGAAGGGGGAAGTTTATTCGTATCAGAAGAACAACCCCTACTTCGGCCTTGTGGCTAGGCAGGGGCCAACTTGAGAATTTCGTATGGTAACTACAACATTTTACTGGAGATTCGAGTAGTACGTCAAAAAGTAAGAATCATTTATTTAAACCATTTTCTTCGATTTTGACAGGTGGCGCACTATGGGCCCAAATAAGAAAATTTGTGTCAAAAGAAAATAGGTCTATTTCTAAGACCTATTTTCGAATTACGAAACACAGAACAAGAACGAAGTAGGCGCTTTTTTGTGACACAAATAAACTTCCCCCTCCCAGATATTAACTTCCTTATTGGAAAGAGTTTTTTGCAGGATCACTAATTTCCGAAATATTTCATCGTTTCAAGATAAAAAAAAAACACCCGCCACCTGTCAAAATCGAAGAAAATGTGTTAGAAAAATTATTCTCACTTTTTGACGTACTACTCGAATTTCCAGTGGTTTGAAATTCTCAAGTTAGCCCATGCCTAGCTTACAAGGTCGAAGTAGGGGTTGTTTTTCTGAGACGGATAAACTTCCCCCTCCCAGATATTAACTTCTTATTTGAAACATTTTTTTCCTCGGATTGATCGTTTCCGAAATATTTTAGTGTTTCAAGATTTTAAAAAACCACCCTGTATACAAAACACAGAGTGACTGGACAATTGACTGCAAAAAAATTAACGGCGTATTTTACACCTAAAAACGGAGCATAAACGATGTTATTGTTAATATGTTTTAAAATTCGTTTCGTTTAAGGAAAAACTCTTTTTAACTTCAATAAGTTGTTACTCTTTCCCCACACGAACTGCATATTGACGACTATTTCACTATATAAATTAAATGTAAATTAAGTTAATTTTTGTTGATTATCGATTGCCGACTCATAGAATTAGCAACAAAAATTTCGCAAAAAAAAACGATTTATTTACGACTTGGTGAATATACGTCGTTAAAAATTTGTAAGTTCATTGTGACAAACCCGCTCATCAATTTACTTTTTTGGCACCTTTTAGTACAATTCACGTCACATACAAATTTGTTTTCTTGCAAAAACCGGAATGATTAGTTAAATATGTAGTTGTGACTACATGTATTCCAGCTTCAAACTTCTCGATAAATAAATGCAGTCACAGTGATATTTCAAAACCAGTTTTTAAACATTTTTTGATATTAGAATGCAAGTGTATATCAAAATATTGTCTGACATTAATCTACCCTAGATTAACTTATGAAGAAAAAATTGTGCTTAATATAATTCTCTATGTTCTGATTAAGTTATTCAGTCTGAGTTTTTAAAATTAATTTAATAATTTCAATTATCCGTAAACAGTAATCGGTGTTCTGGGGGCCACCAATATGCAACAAAGCACAGCTTCTCATCAGACAAATACAATTGCTCGCATTCTTTTACATGGAGTATTAAAAATTGAATTTGAAATCCACTCATGCTATGCATACGATTTAAATTGTTCGATAATCACATACTTTCTATGTGAAAATTTAAATTGGCAAAATAAATACATTTACAGAAAGAGGCATTACGCGCGAAACAGCAGTCAAATAAAAAAATAGTCGAAGTTCAGCCGTCATGGACATTTCAGGTGTTACCTTCATTGTATCAGCACCCGCAAAAGGTAGCTTCTGCTTGCTCATCATGCTTAATGTACTCGTGGTGTTAAAACACATTTAACAATTCTCTTTAGGAAATACGCCGTATGAATTGATTGTTTATCTATCTGACTTCCTCGATATGACATGATTGAATTATTAATTATCAATAATTCTTACAGATGAACCTTGTAGCGCAAACTATGGCACAAAAACGAGATTTGTTCAGGGGATCTGAGTCAATTATGTGCAATATTTTCACAGAAAAAAACATTTCAAATATGATTGAGATAAAATGAGTCTAATGCGTCTAATAAGAGAATTTTTGAATGAGTTAAGAGTTTTTGTGGCAAGCCATTTGATGAACATAATCTGCATGTTTCTGTCAAAGCCTCGCAGATAATGAAGGCACACAGAAAGTTACGTGGTTGCAACAATTCTAAAACGATGTTAACCACAAAAATTTGCAAGTCTTTGAATTATACTTATCGTAAGTTTTCAATTTGAAAATATAGTTAGTTAATTGAAGTTGAAAGATTTGAATAATCGATTTGAACGTTTTAGCATAATTCAAGGACCAGAAAATTTGTTTGTACGTATAAAAACAAAAGAACTGTAGAATTTGTAGCGCTGACTTAACAAGAAGCGGAAAACGTATTCTAGCGTGCTATTTCAATATTAAAATAGTTTGAGTAAGACTTTAAATTCCGTATTTATGTCAGGTGTTTAAGATTCCAGCAAAAATAATCCATGCATGAAATCGACCTTGCTCCACTGTTATTTTAATCGATTTTGTGGTTGTGATGAAAACCTTATAATAAACAATAAGGCGTTGTTGATATCCAGTGTGACAATTGTGTTAATTCATTTGATTCGAGTAGCATTAATTACTATTTACATGACTATTTCAAAATTTGCTCGATGCACGTTTACCTTTGTCATAATGAATTTTACTCAGAAACAGTAAATTAATTTTATCATCGCGTGATGTTTGCGTTTGTCCCTTAATAACATTAATTTCCTATATTGAAACAAAATGACTGTTCATAATTGTTGGCTTCGTTTGTGTCTTTCTGACTAACGTAAAACGCAATATTCAAGTGTACGCAACTCACAAGATTTTCGATAACTTTCAGATCGAAATAAAATAGTTGCAATTTATCAATTTATAATAGTTTAATGAACAGTACGCTGATGATGTGTGAATATTGAGTTGAATAGAGCCAGGGGCTGTAAAAGCAATTAAATAGAGTTGCAGGCACCAACGTTCGCGCAAACTTTTTTGCTAATGCATTTCGAATGCTTTGTGAAAATCGAATTATTGATCGTAGTAGTAAAAGCCCAGTTGAAAATGTTCGCTCTTGCTCAAGAAATTGCCCTTATTTATGCAGGGGTGGATGAACGAGTGATTAATCTAGACAATTTTGCCGTCGATATTCCTATAGCCACTGCATACACAAGCAAGAACTAGCCAAGCATCAAATTTACTTACATTTTCAGAATTTTATTTATTTTTATTAGACAGAGCTTGTTTATGATGGATTAGTAAAATTTTAAGCATCGACATCGTATGTGCGTCATAAAATGTTAAATATTGAGATCATTTAACCGGCACGTTTTAAAATCCATGAATTTGATTTCGCAACGCCAGCAAAACCAGTAGATTTTAAAAAAAATGCAACATGAATATTGCATAAGGCACCATAACAAGTGAGAAAGTTGCTTTATAAATCTGGTTGAAGTTCAAGGATTTCAATTTCAGGACGAACGAAGTGGTTTCATTAGTGAAACATTAAGGCCAGATGAATCGATGTTTTTTAGGAATGGAATTAATAACCACTTCCTATTTCAATTAACTATAAATGCATAATATATTAAGTAAAAAGTATTTTGAAGTTCTCCTAATTGAATTACAAAGTACGATTAATTTTTAGAATCTTATGATTCTGAAAAAGAACACAACATAAAATATGGGTCAGTGGTTCGATATCATACCGGAAATAAAGTCCTTAAATAGCCTATTTATTAATAAAAACTATTCTATGTATGAATAAACCACCTGTCAGGTCTACTTGATATGTAAAGTTTTCCGAGCTAAATATTTTGTTTAGCTTTTATTTCGCTGCAGCCGCTAGATGCAATTTCCGCGCAAAAGCTCATTCGTTTCTTGTTCTATTTCCAACAGTTGATAACTATAGTTATTCAAAATGTCTGTAAATTTGTTGGCTTTAAGCGGCTTAAGTACCAAAATAAATAATTCAGTGTCCGATTCCCATTTATTTGATTAATAAAGGTACTTATTTGATTTATTGAATCAGCGCTCTGTGATAATTTATGTCGTTAGATCACGTCTAGCGGGAGCTCTTATCTCCAAGAATCGGAGTTAATTTCTACATTAGTGGGTGCTCATGTACTTTATGTCTGGCGGATTTTCGCGTTCTTTTCAATTTTCCCTTAAAGCACACTTAAAATAAAGAACATTCAGCGAAAAAGAATGCGGATAGTCCATAGAATCATGCTAGAAAACATTTACAAACTTTTATAAGTTTTCTATCATGATTCTATGGACCATCCGCATTTTTCGCTGAATGTGGTTTATTTTAAGTGTACTTTAAGGGAAAATTGAAAAGAACGCGAAAATCCGCAAGACATAAAGTACATGAGCACCTAACTCTGTTATTATATTTCTAAACGCGAAATATTCTAATTTAATAGTTATCGGATTTTTGGCTTATTAATTATTGCTTAATTGTTACTAATTATTAATTGTGTAATAATGCAGTCGAAAATGGAAGTTTGCTGTTTCTATCACTTCTTTGCGGCTTATCTGGGTATTAGGTATCTCACCATGTTTGATTTTCTTAACATAATTTTTATTTCCAGTGATTAATGTTTGTTGATTGATTGGTTGTGTACTGTTTTGGTTAGTGAGTGGCGTTCTAATCGAGTTACTTTTTACTAAACTTGCAACTTTAGTCAGCACAAATTGCTATCTATTCAAGGTAGAACGTGTACCTAATGTGAAAATTTGGTTATAGAAAAGCAATAACTGTTGTTGTTGGTATACATTTTTAATCACTCACTGTAAAGTGGGTCGGCAAAAGGCAACGTTAGGATTTCACAGCTAAGAAATTTGGGAATAATTGAAATATTCCTAAATTAACAGGTGGAAATTACCCCGTGGATAAGCAGCAAGCACAATATGGGCATGGCATTTAACCGCACAACATGGAACGAAGTAGTTAAATGTGCAGCTTTTTTTTGTAAATACGACGATTACAACTGGGATTGGTCATTGCAGCACATATCACAGAATTGCTTAAAACAGAAGCTTCAGGCTATGGTTGCTAAGGGCCCTCGGGTTTTTCATATTGGAGAATGGTAATGATCATTCCCCTTCTTAAACAGATGCTATTGATGTAAACTAATTATAAAACGTTGATATTATTGCAGCGGGGTCCATCACAAGAAAGATAATTGTGGTTCCACAGCGGTGATATCAAAAGTTCAGCAGGTGCTGAGATCGGCTAAGAGATATCTATTTCCGGAATATTTAATTTCGTCGTATGCCGCAATTCTAAAGAAAAATAAGCTTAGGAAAGGCAATGGAGGATGGGGTGATCATAGAGATCATAAACTGTGCATGAGTATGACTATCACATAATCAAAACTGCTCAGCTCTAGTTAAGGTTGTAATTTTCACGAGATATTTTTTTAAATATACAGACCAAACCGTACATCTAGGTTGAGAGATACATAAAAAAAGTAATCGTCCCTTCTATAAAAACCTTCATCAGACTCAAAAATTAACGTTTTAAGACACTCCAATAAAAATTAAACCAAAATAAAGCTGCTTCATCGTTGCACGGGACCCTACTGTTGCCATCGACAATATAATTTCTTTAGTATTGTAATTTTATGATTATACCTAGATTGTACGCTTACACATTGGTATTTACTTGTCTACCCACTTAGTTGCATGGTTTTCTCTGTCTGCAAGCACATGGACAAATAATGATGTATTTCAAAACCAAATACTTAGTCTATAACATAAGGCAACGCCATATTTTGTACAATCGTTATAAACATAGTTCATAATGGACTTTTACAAGTGCAGCCCAGCATTTCAGTTACAGATTTTCTAGCTTTCAAATTCGTTTCATATTTATAAAAGTTGCAATTCTGCAATTACGGGGTTTTATGATTTGTTCAGAATACTGTTAGCTTTTTGTCCATTAATGACTATTTACTTGCTACTAAAAGTTGCTTTTAACATCACTACTCCCGTGATATTTTTAGTCCTATTAGATAACATAATGTGGCACTTCAATATTTGTGGTAAGTTTGAAGGAGCTAAATGAAGCTGTCGGTGAAAATTTACTTGATCTAGACTAAACAGAGCTCCTCCCAAAATATTTGTTGCCTAATTCCAACGAACGCCTATTGAATGCTATTTATAACCGTTACTACATTTCGAAAAAAATCAGTGTTAAATGTACAAGGGTTTTTCAACTTCACAGAAATAACTGAATGCTATTTGATGTCAATATATTTTTTAAAATCTATTTCAGCTATCAGCTTAAAATAATTTTTGTTTTAAAGTTGTTATTCTTAAATAAAGATTATTCTTGTTGATGGGTCAGTTTACTAAAAATATACTTTATGAATTTGCATATTGAAGATTGAAGCATTCTCGTACATCCACACAATAAAATGATAAATATTAGATACTTGGCCTATGCAATTGGTTTAGTAAATGCTATTTTACAGCGTCATATTTATACACAATTGCTTTACACCCGTCTTTAAAAATGCTTTTACAATGTTTTACGATCTAGTCAACGTTGTTAACAGAAAACGTATATTACGGAATTTCTTAGAGTACTATAAGGTATCGACTCGTGATGGGAACTATCGAATAGTTGTAATGTAAAATTTAATTCATTTTAATTATTCGATAGCAGTGTTATCAGCAGCATGTCATTTGGCATCGTGATATTAAACAGGTTAGGGGCAAACAGTACCTACACAATGCATCTCGAATCTAAAAGATGCATTTTAAGTCGCTGCATTACTTTTTTATGAATAAAGTACAGTACTCAATTAGTTCATACTAACTGAAAACCTGCATTTTCAAAAGAATATAAATTTGTAATTTGTATCTGTACTACACTGCACTAGATAGCGCGCACTATTCAATGAATGATTTTATTCGATAGTTGCATCCATTAATTTAGTAATCATTCGATAGTGCCCATCGTATCGACGCACATTAAGCGACGATCAGCTTAACATGGAATTTTTCTAGTCTTAGTGTAAAAAACATTTGCTATTTTTAGGGATCTTCATTTAATTGTGATATAGTTTTTTTAGGTTTATTCGTTATTATTTTTTATTATGTTTACAGAATTATATATTTTGTATACTGGTTTTATATACTTTCGTTATATTATCCTTTATTCAGTAATGTCTTTCAGGCACAGCTAGTTATTTTGAAAGAGCAGTTATGATTTATTTGTTGATTTCTGAGGTTTGTTCTAGATGTAAACTTAGTGATTAAGTTATCAATCCCTATTCCTTTGTTAAATTGTTTATTGTTATTACTTGATGAACCCAAACTGGTGACACCAACAAGAATGTGCACGGTTATATCGGACGTACCTACAAGTTGTAGTTGATTTATTATTTCTGTACATGTGAAATAATAATTCATTAAAAAGCTCGAAAAGTGATAATTCTGTCTCATTTTATTAGATTATGGCGAAATTACTAGATACGTATTTTTTTAAGGTAGATCATAGACTACTTTGCAATAGGTTATTTTCACATTGGAATTAACGGGCTTGATTAGATTTAATTACTTCTTAATGAGGCCATATTAATATGTATTGAAGTACATTTTATTGTAATTTTTAAGATGTACTGCTTTCCCACCATGTAAACGTAAAACAAAGTGATAGTAAATTCGTAATCAGATTAAATTATGCATTGATTTTTTACTTGTATTTATACATGTATAATATATTGATATAAGAAAATGTCCATTTTTTGTGCTCCTTTCTAACTGGCTTACAATACAGGTTTACTTACCACATATTCGCCACAATAGTTAATTATTTGATAATACACTGTATGCTTAGAGATGAAAGTAAATCCTCAAATTATATTAAATTGCTTTTTTTAATGTTTTGCTTAAATTGAATGGCTGAGGTATTTAAACTCGAATTAAGAAACTTGATACCTTAGAGCTCGCGATCCAATCGAACTCACTCTCTAAAATCTATAATCCCTTTTTAGCCATAGTCGAAAAGGATTCTCTATTTTGCTTACTTCAGTTTTTAATTTCCGCTCTTTCATGCAGCTATTCACCATTAAATCGAGTTAAATCGGTTATTCCGCTCTGCAGGAAGTGCTCCGACTGGTTTTCATTATTGAATTTTGTACAAGGCATTGAGCAGGCTGGTTAAAGCTCTATTTCTGAAGAACGGAAGTATGAATATTATGAATTCCATGTATAGGAGTTTCAGTAAGGAGAAGTTTGTTACACATATGGACTGTGAAATCTTCAGTCCGTTTATATACGGACTAGTCATTTTATATACTGCCAGTTTTACTCATACGGTCTGTAACATATATATACTATTTGATAATTTCGTTCAAATTCTGTTTGATATTACGTTAGAAACTGGTGGGTTTTTGGAGCTGTTGTATCATCGGGGAATACAATTTTGTTCTGGCGTTTTGCAAGCAAGAGTGGCTTGCATTTTCTGAAGTGTTTCGTTCAAAAACTGACACTGACAAAGGCATATAAAGAAAATAAAAATGACCTATTTTCGGAGGTTTTTTGTACCAAATCAGTGATAAAATATAACTTGTCTATGTAACGTTAGGAACTTTACATAATTTCAAAAAATTGAAAAATTTAAACAAAAGGTATAAATTGATTCAAGTATCTTCTTCTACACATAAAGACGTGGACAAATGTACACGTTCTTAAGCAATATGTAGATTTTGCAAACAATAGATTGTTAGGGATATTGACAGGGATAAAACTATCTAAGCTTTACATTATTCACTTTTTATTTTTCTACATTTATGCATGGGCTATAAATGCAAGATTCTTATTTATAATTGTTCTTCACATTCTATAATTTATTTTAGAAAAATAACGACATGTACAAATGCATACGCTATGTTTTACATAAAAACGAAATATTTCTTGAATGCAACAAACATTTTTATAAAATAGATTAATTTTCGTAATTCAGGAGATAAGTGTCATTAAGTAAATATTGTTTTTGTATTGCTCAAGAGATGCCGGTATCTGTATCAAAATCGGAATAAATTCGATTCTTCATTTTGGTGGATTCGCCGTTCCGCCAGAAAACTGAATTATCGGAGCAGTTTTTCGCTTTTTAATTATGTATGTATTTTACTAAGGACGTTTTACAGGATGTTTAGGTATTTTTTTCCCGATTACAGTAGCATGTATGCACTTGAAACATAAATAAGGTCTGGCGGATGCAGGGAGGTGGCGCAGGGGGCACGTGCCCCCCGTGAACATGTACTTTTCATTATTTAATATATACAATTTAATATGGTTTATTTTGTTGTTGTTTTTTTTAAATACTATGTTGTTTCTGTTGTTTTAAGTGCAATAAAAAAACCTGCAGAATATAGGATGTGGTAGAGAAAAAGTCAATATTCCTTTACTACTGCGCCCCTCCTCAAGAAGCTCCTAGACCCGCCGCTGAGTAGAATATCCTGTTTTATTGTGTTGTTTTATTTGATTCCAACAGTGGCAATCCTAACATATGGCTTAAGTGAATTAAATCTCATTTTTAGTGTATTCGATTAGTGTCGACGATAATTTCAAGCTATACCTATAATAATACGACTTCAGCAAATTCCTGTTTAGCAAATGTTTTTTTAGGGGAAAGCTTTCAAAGCCAACAAAATCGATTTAAATATATTTTTCTAGGATTCATATTACTTAAATTGCAACAACTATGGGATTCCAAAAAAAATATGAAACAATTTGCTGATGTTGAAAAGTTTGAAAAGGTCAGCGACAAGAAAAATTAAATGAATCTTATTAAGACCCCTAAAGCAAATTAACCAAAAACCGTAAAAACGTTAAAAAAATTAACATCTGAAGAAAGAAAAGTTTTAACATCACGTTGCATAGATTTAGCTAAGATGTAAGACCAAACTAAACAAAATGTAAGTTATTACAAATTGGACAAATAGTTATAACTATTTATGTATGTATACATAGGTAGCTCCAATTCCTGACAACAATGTTGATAGTGAAAATCCGTTATGGAGGATCGACGTTGAACAGTATAAAACCATGGATAAAGCCAACTATAAAATGTATAAAACGAAAGAAAGAAATTTCTGGAGATTGCATGTTCCAATTTTATGCTTTCCGTTTGAGCTACGAGATGCCATTGCCCGTGCTAAATTCCTATAAAAAGTGGCGGGAGCCCGGAGCGGTTGTTGAGAAGACGGGTTACCTCTAATTATAGAAACTGGCTTTATAGATTTGCCCTTGACTGATCAACAATACAGAAATAAAATGTAGGAAAAACCACCTTAAAAGTAAATGGAAATTCTGCTTCTGTGATACTGCTTTAGTATCTTTATTGCTTTAATTTTTCATCTGGAAAGTGTTTTAATTACATGTCTTGACAATTATAGAATAGAGCAAGTCTGAAATAGAACAACTTTAAAGTGTCTATTAAAACCTCAGCAGAGAGTAGTCCGCCATTTAAAAAAGTACAAATTTGCTATCAAAGGATTTACTTTTTCTAGTTAACAAGTCTGTGATAGACGACCGAAGAAATGAAGAGCAAATTCTGAAAATCACGTGTTCTAAGTTCTAATTTGATGCTTTCAATTTAAGCCACGAGATGCCAGTCACTACTTTAATATTAAGGTCGTAATAAAATGATTACTGGTTAACGGTTTGGTAACAGGACGGGCTTTATTTAGGCAATTGTTATAGAAACTAGATAGTGGACACATATATAAGTTGACCTAGCAGCAGTTTTGGTTAATACTACTGAATCTAACTCATTTTGACTTATCTCTAAAAATTGTCTCCAATTCAGATATTTAAAGTTAATAAAGCAACTCGAAAGGAGACAAAATATCCTTGTTTCGTTCTCCTCTAATTGAATAAAAATTAAATTTGTACCAGAAGGTCAACAGTTTCTGGTTAACGAAATGCAAAAGAAAATAATTAAAAAAACGGTTAAAATAATAAAATTAAAGATACGAAGGTAACTATCGAATTCTAACTTTGGACGAAATCCGAAAAAAACTAGTAATTTCGTGCTCTACAAAGGGGCTTTTCTTACATCGATATAACTTTTACTATGCCAGCACAAAATTGCCTTCCATCAATTATTTGACTTTGAGAAGTCCCTAAAAACAGCCAAAATTAAAGTCATCAAATTAATTTTTCTCGAAAATTGTCTATCTATTGTGTTAACTTGGTGCCGAAAAGAGTAACACTTTAAGTGACAAGTTGTAAACAATAATATATATACGTTTACCCCATAGATTAACTAAGTACCCCGATCATCGTATCTTTCCACAAATTCGGCAAACTTTTACAATCCTTTAGATGCGTATTGTTACCCACTCACCGTACAACCTGATGTCAAAATGTATTAATTTTATATTAAATAGTTTTGAATTTATTTATGAAAACCCATTTTTGGGATACTTGTGAAATACAAAAGATAATCCGTTACCTGGCTCGGAAACCTTCTACATGTGGCCGGATTTTGCATTTAGATTTTGAGAAAACTGCTAAGTAGCAGTTAGAAAGTTCTAACTGTCTAAGGAAATTGTAATCGGCAAAAAGAAAATTTGCCTAAACTATGACTTCTATTTTCAAAACTGCACCCAACACCAAAGCAAGCCTCGGAATAAGTTGAATTAGGTTGAAGATGGTATCTAGTCGAATTTAAATATATAGTATTAATATACTTTGTGAAATTTTACGTTATATACCGTTAAAAATCATCATAAATGCTATTAATGATATTAAACTATTTGCTATTAAACAAACAGGACCGTATTAAAAAAAAGTTGATACATAATCTTTGAGCTGATTGAAACTTATTTTAAGAAAGTTAGTTTTGAAAGGCTGCCTTTGAAATTAACATCGAAAAGATAAAATGGAATTTAATTCCAATTTCTTGCAACCAAACAAATTTAAAATTTGTATGATAGATTTCAAAGAGCCATGCTATTAGACTTCGCATTTTGATGACAGTAGATAATATCAATCGACAATCACATCTTATTCATAGCTCTCAACAACCCGTTGGAAAATATGTGATTAATGATTGGTTTTATGATTAGTGCCCTTTATTGAGGATTATTCGAAGCTATGGTTCTAGTCTTATTTTATCAAGCAGCCACATAAATAACCAGCATATTGCACCGTAAAATGGTAATTTTATGATAAATAGTTCCTACTTGCAATGCTTAAAAAACTAGACTAGACTTACCAGTTTTTTGAACATTTCTTATTATTTTAAAGACCCTAACGTTTTTAAAGGCAGGCCCCAATAAAAAAACTCGTTTTAAAAGATATGCGTTACAAGGACGAAAAGGTTTCTTTAAGGCCTACCGTTATGGTAATTTACGTATTCCGATTAAAGAAGACCCACAATGTTTTTTTATTTTGACTGAGAAAAACGTTGTGATTTATTTTCTCTCCCTTATTTCAAGGCACATTTTTAACCATTTGTTCTACTTCGCAATATCAGCATCTTTATATTTATTTATCTGCTAAGACTTAAGTACAAGTCGGGTTGGATTGTTTCCTTTGCTGAATGAAATCCGCGCTCTTTTTGGTGTTTTCTTATTCTTCCTGTAGCGTAAGAAAATTCGCGCGTGCCAGAGTGGGCAACAAAGGGTTGATCAACCTCAGTTCCCTCTATATGCACATATGCCATTGCACCCCTAATTCCTTAAGGGAAAGCTGCAACGGGATTGTCTTGAAATTGGTGCGAGC